AGTGATTGGCAATTTATGTCATTACGCCAGGTTGTGCTGCATTGCTGCACCGTTTCTTTTGCGTCTAGATACCTAGGGGACCACTGAGGTAGGTGGCGCCTCCATAAATGCAATACGATGTCAATGAGTACAGCCCGAGCCATTCATTTCTTCAAGTAAACTTGAAGTCGTAGCTCAAGCAATATAGTTTCTTTGACTTTACATTCTTTGTCAGATGATTCAACAGTGTTCTTATAACTATTATCTATACTAGTTTAAACCATATGCGCATGTAGAAGCCTTTGCAATAAATTAAATAATTCTCGTATTCGCTACGAGTTGTTATCCAGTGAATCGTCACTCTGTCAGAGAGCAAATGATATTATGAAAAATTTCTGTCATCACGTTTTTGACGCTGTTTATGAACGTGGCTCTTAATCCCTCCGTTCGGGTTTGTAACAAGAACGTTCTTCTCTAGACACTGATCGCTGATTTAAAAGCATGAAGATATGTCAGCTTCGCAGGTTCACCGACTGAAGGCTTATGAAAGACCTTAGTCATAGCTATCATGAGACTTTACAAGTTCGCACTCGACGTCATCTGACGAACAGGCGGCATACTTTGGCGCTGCCTGTTCGTTTTAACGGAACGAACACCTTTGCTTCGCATGGGCATACTGACAAAAATTTTGTAGTAATCTAGATGGTATGTCGACAATCGAAATGAAAAGTAGTTTTAATGACTAAACGGCTTAAAATCTGTTCACTGAAACTGAAAGAGAAGCTCAAACATGCGTTCTTCTGAAAGATCATGGACAGGCAAGTGACAGACGGACAGTGACCATTCCAATGTCGTCTCACGGTCAGAATCATGCTGAGCTGATGTACAAGTTCAGAGTGTAAAGTAAAGCCTCATCTTCGGATAATATCTACCAATCACCTTTTTTCCGAATCTTCAATGATCTTGTCCATGAGTCGTCGTTTCTTCTTTAAAATGACAGATGACTCAACGAAAAAAATTCACCTGCCTTATTTGTAAAGTAACATGTGCGATGGTTCTCAATTCTTCCATCTGGATTTGTAGTTGCAGCGTTATCTTTCATCGTCGACCGTTGCAAATATACGAAAGGAGTCTGTTCCAGACTCCATTTGTCCTTTGCCGAAGCTCAGACTCTGGCACACGATCGGGAACGTTGGAAGCTCTCTCTGACTCGTGTGCCTCCGCGACCATGGAAAATGAAGAATATGATGGTATTGTCATCTTTCGATACATATCTACCTTAAAACTGCAACTAGCGCTGTGAAGCCTGATTAAAAAAGCCTCTTTAGCCGACTATGCCGACTCAAGAGTAACACATTCTATCGTACTACGCTCTGAAATTTAATTGGTCTTCTGCTTATCCGTGCGCCATCATCAGCCGTTGTCGATCCGCTGCTCGATGAGTTATCTGTCATTTTTATTCATCTTGATCCAGCTGTCTTCTTTAGCTCATCCTGACATCGATTTTGAGGTCTTCCTACTGGCTGTTTATTCTCTTAGAACCCAGTCGAACGTCTCTCTGGTCGTGTGACGGACGCCGGTTCCTCTTGCAATGGCTTCTGTCTACAAGTTCTTTAACTGTTTCATTCAGGCAATGTTATCGCATACTCTTTCCTTCCGTTCTCATCCATTTGTTCGTCTTTTTTGCAGGCATCCTTCCATGCTGCGATGTGCTGTCTGCACTTTATGTACAGTCTTCAGACTTAAGGTCCACGGTTCATGCCCATTGGTTAGCGCTAAAATACAACATTCGTCGAATGCCTTCCGCTTCAAGTACAACGGCAGATTCCCGGATAATAATATTTCCAGTCTTAGAAAAGTGCTCCTTATTACTTTTATTCTTTCGTTGATTCAAATAGTTGATTCTACGTTTCAGCTATGATATATCCCAGATGGACATCGTTCTCCACTGGTCCAAGCCACAGTTCAATGACTTCTGTAGATTCTGCCCTAAAAAATAAGGCACTCCTGGTTGATAGCACAGCACCATCAACTTCATGAAAGAAACGGCGCCAAAATGGCAAGTGATGACAGTGATGTAAGATCGATATTCCAACGGTTACTAATCTTTCTTCTCTTCCATTGATTTCAGCAGAACACGTGGTCACGTATATATCGAACACATTTTAGGTCTTCTTCGCGATCATTTTCAGCCCTACTTGGATACCGGCGTTGTTAAACTGTTGCATCGTTTTTCAAGTGACCTTGAAAAGATCAGAAAGTCACTCGCAAACCGCAGATGGCCTAAACAGTCCCGTTTATGTTCTGTCTCTGACTTTTCCAACGGAGTATCTTGTAAGCCTCTTCTGTAGCTGCTGTAAATGACTTCAGTAATGGTGCATCACCCTGTCGAACATCTTTTGTTTCTATTTCGAGCTTGATTGTGCTTTGGTGAAGTTTCACTCTAGCAGTTGCATCCCCGGAAATCATGTACGATCAGAAATATGTATCATTTTTCCATTCCCTGGGTCTTCAAAGAGTCCAGTACACAACGAATGTACCTTGAGTCGAAAACCTGGTGATACGTGAAATCAACGTACCCAGTGCAAAGAAGAAGCTGATATTCATTGCTTGTCTCGATTACTTGTTGTACTACTTGGCAATGATTCCATCGTACTAAATCCACTTCTGAATCATATCTGCTCCTTTGGCTGTACAGTGCCTAGTTTCTCTTGAAATCTGTTCGTTCGTGCCTTCGTAAACTTCTTCGAAATGACTGACAACAAACTGTGCGGTCTTCAATTCCTCACATCTTCTGTCTTTTCTTCTGTGCAGTAGAATCACCGGTAGTCCAATCATCTGAAATTTTCAGTTCCTTCAGACAGCGTGAAAACAAGCGCGCTAATGGTCAGTGAATCACTTCCTGATTCAGCGAATTCTACTGTAAGGTCGCCTTCGCCTGGAACCCCTTCTCCCTTTGCGTATCTTATTACATGTCGCACTTCTTGTGGCCAGATATCTGAAACTTCGTTGGTTTCATTTGTGTGTGCAGTTACTGTATCGTCACCCATGGTACTGCTGTTTTGGTATTTCTACAGTTTCCTACAGAAATCTCCCAGTCACTTTGTCTCTCCCTGATGAAAGTCCGTTCTCTGTTCTGAGAATTTAACTTTGTTTTTGTGCAACCGTCATTTCTTGTTTTGATAGCTTCCTTTAGCAATCTGCAGTTCATTACTGGACGTCTTCTTTAATACGTTTGCTAAAGGTTCTGCAAAGTTCCATATATTCGATCTATGATGATGGAGTTGATTTTCGATCCGTTGCTGCCTTCGTTTCTTCCTTATGTTTTCGTTTGCGTCACAATTTTCGAACATCCTCATTATCACTGTTTAGGTGATTTCCACCGGTTTTATAACTCCTTTCTTCATGCCCAAGTACATTACTTTAATGTTCGCTGTTTCTGTTGTTTTTTCTTGCATTCTGTGAAGAACGTCAAATCGGTTATTCAGTCTGAGCTGGAAAAGCAGCACAAGGTTCTTCTTTAGTGCTTCCTCATCGAGGTTCTTGCGTTTCATCCTCATCAGTTATCATTGGTGCAGTTAAGTTCCGACGCACTTTACATCAGAGGTGCCGGTTGTCGGTCCCTGTATTAAACCTGTTCCGCCCTCAACGTGCTGCGCTGTCTTCTTAATGTTATTGAGGATGAAACTGATTTCATTCGTGACGTCGTTTGGGTTTTACCATGTCCATTTTTCGATTAGTTTTTCTGAAAACAATGAGTCCATGGTTGAAAACTTGTTCCTTTTAGTAAACTCCACTGGTCTTTTGCCCCTGTCATTCCTTTCGTCGTAATTAATCAGTCGTAACCTTGCTGCGGTCTGACTTTCGCGTTGAAATCACCCATCATGAACTTGCAAAGTCTCTTCCCATGCTCATGAGCTGCTTCGGTTCGCCGTAAAAATCTTCAGTCGTTTCATAAGAATGGCTTTAGTTCTGCGCATATGTTTGGATCACTTTGAAACTCTCAGAGCCAGTCTTGCACGCCCCTCTGAAATGATGTCCACTTGTAATTTATTGTTTATTAATGTTCTGTGGATAATGCACCCTATTCTCCGTGTGCCTCCATTTGAGGATCCTCTGTAGAACAGGAATTTGTTTAGGTTGAAGCTCTAACAGCTCCTCCTCGTTTCTTCTAACTTCAATGAGTCCTATTTCTGCAACCTCGCACTTATTTTTTTATGTTCTTCGTCTATCTCCTGAAGCCTTAATTCACCTAGTAGTAATTTGCAGTTGTACGTTCTCAGCGTTAGTAAACCGTAGCAGCTCCCATCCGGATCCGGTAATTCTTAGCTGACCTGCTGCTGCCTTCGTCAGCGGCAATCCAGCCTCGGGGAAGAGGGGGAGGTGGTGAGGGACGTGGTTTTAGCTGAGATCTCTTCTTGCAACATTCAACCATAACTCGCCATGCTGACCAGACGGGTTAATAAATGTTGTCTCTTCTATTGACCGAGTATATATTTTTAAACTTTTACAACGCGGTTGAACCTGTCAGAGCCTACAGGCTCGGATGTACATCAGCTTGAGAACCGGTTGCCACCCTCCTATCACGATGAGGTAGTAGACGCAAGAATCAGGAAGGGGCATACCATGATGGATTACAGACGGCATAGTAAAAAACACCGTAAATTCGATTTTTTTAACAGAAAAGCACTATTCTATTTTGCATGCGATCGGATGACATGAAGCTTCCTTGCGTCTGTTATCATCGCTTATGTGAAACTATTTATTTCGTCTGTCTGTCTTCTATTTTTATACCTGTAGGACTTCTACTTCGTGGTTTCATATTTCCATTTTTCTAATTAACTGAATATCGTGGCACCATGAAGTTCTGACTTGTTGAATGTTTTATGCTTTTTGCTAGTCAGCTGACTGAAAAAATGTTGATGATCATAATAGGATTGCTTCTCTATCTCGCCATCGTTGCTGTTCTTTGTTCCACTCTTATTGCATCGCAGTATAATTTCTGAGTTGTAAAAGTTCACATGGTTAGCCTGCAATGAATATGGTGTTCCTAATGATACATGTGACCGACGGGTGAAAATTTTCTTGTCGATCCTGTTGCTTGAGTTTAAACTTCACACTGTCGTAATTGTTCTCATATTGATTGGTTCTGTTTAAGGTAGTGTGCGACGGAAAGACGTTGACAGAAATTCCGAAGTCGCTCTTCCAAAACATGCGCAACCTGACGATCAAAAACGCGTTTCTTGGAGAGCTACCTACGAACGCGTTCAGCGCATACCCGTTGCTCGAACGGTTGCAGATCAGCCATAGCGAGGTGAAGCGCATTCACGAGTTCGCCTTCGCAGGACTTCCCCGACTGCAGTTCCTATATATTCTGAACAACCCGCTGTCGACTCTCGAACCTTACTCATTCAGTGCCTTGAACAATGTCAAGGAGGTCTTGATCCGCGGGAATGACATAACGTCCATTTCTAAGTTTACTTTCTTCAACAGCAAGAACATCCGAGGATTGGACCTCAGGGCAAACCCTGTGACTCGTATCCACAGCAACGCCTTTTCAGGATTGAACAACGTTCAATTCTTACATGTGCCAGAGGGAGTGCGGGACATCGAGCCGGATGCGTTTAACAACTTGACCCGGGTCCATTTCATGGACATTCGACTGTGGAACGCAAACCTATCTGAATTTAAAGGCGTCGCTTCGTATACGTTCCGCGGTCTGCGGTACGCTTCAAGCATTCGAATTTACAGCAGCAACTTGGGTGTTATCCGACAAGGGGCTTTCGAAGAGATCGAAACCGTGGAGACCCTGCAGATCCGAAACTCGCATATACACCGTATTCAGAAAGGTGCCTTCGAAGGCATGCACCACGTCGGCAGCCTGGATATGGTCAAGAACGACATCGACTTCGTAGACAGATCGGCATTCTTCGATCTTCCTAGTGAGAACGTGCATCAGTTTCAACTGATGGAAAACAACTTCGACTGTTCCTGCAGCAATTACTGGTTGTTTGCCAACTACGACACCCTTGATGCTGGCGTCCTTCAAAGGAACTACTGCTCCAGTCCTCACAACCTGCTAAAGATGCCTCTGAAGGCAATCAGTGCCGTGTACGTCAAGAACTGCACCGATCACATGTCTGACGGCGAGAACGACGAAGTCAGTGCCAATGGGGCCCCATTGACCCTCACGTTTTCTTTCCTCCTCGCATTATGTTTGCCTCTTTTCCTTGTCTTATGTAACTTCGATTTTGTACAACTATCGTGAAGACATCGCGTTCTGCAGGTCAAAAAATGACTTATTAGCTAGAATTTCTCGACGCACCTCTGTGCGTCTTTGGTCAGCGGCCTTCGATAATAGCATGTCTTCGCTTAGCACAACAAGGCGAATGCGAGGCAAGCACTCTCCGCTGTGCCCGATGCCGTTAAGTTCGTTTGCTTGCAACACCATTTTCGTAAATAACGAATGTTCGCCTTGTTTACTTGTAAATTGCTTGTCGATATTTCCTTAACGACTCTTGACTAAATTTGTTCTAAGCATTTGTTGAACTCTGGTACTTTATTCGTAAATGACTAGAACATATGATAGAAATGCCAGTTTTCACAATCGTTGTTTGATCTTCGTTAAAGACGATATGGTGAATGCTTTTGTTGCATTTTGTTGCGAAAATGGAATACGCAGCACAAGTAGAAGCAAGACGTCGTAAAGATACCTTTCACAGTAAATTTTGCTGATTTTCAGGATCATAATGCCAAATTAGGTTAGGTTTCAGACATCTTCATGTTCCATCGCCGCTTCTCCTTTCGGGTCGCGGAGGCAGACGCGTCAGACAGTGCTTCCAACCTTTCTGATCCTGTGTCAGAGTCTGAGCTTCGGCAAAAGACAAATGCAGTCTGGAACAGACTCCTTCCATATGTTT